AATAAAAAATAGAAGAAAATATTTTATAGACTCAAAAATTATAAAAAACTAAAAGTCTACTATTGTCATAAAGAGCTTGAACTGAATATAGAAGCAAAATTTGGATAGATCAAGCACTTGAATTTTGTTGATGAATATCGTTGACTCAGTGTTCAGATATGTCCTATTACAATCTGAATTTGGAAAACGCTATGATAAAAAATATAAATCTCTCGGTGTTATTTATTCAATCAAGTAACTAATAACGAAACCTTAGAGAATTACTACCTAATTCTTGCGTAACCATATTTTTTGACAGAAATCGAGAGTTTACACGCGAAATGCACATTACCACGCATGAAACATGTACCAAGGTTTTAATGGGTTTCTCGGATATACATAGATATCTTTTTCCCAAAACAGCAAAAATATGATTTACCATGCCCGATTCGTAATACTTGATTATAGTTCTTTTTTAACATGGTTTATTTGTTCAGGCGTATTTATTAAAATTATAGGAATAGAGCGTTCTTAAGGGGTAACACCATAACATTATAATTGTATGAAGTAATACGAGAAACAAATACCAGAAGTATATAAAAAAAAACAATCAAATTGGCTCTAAGCAAAAAAATGATTTATGCATTTTTTGTAGATAATTTATATTGTCTCAGGTAATTGTAAGATAAAACTAACCATTTAGCTGAAAATCGCAAAAGGGTCTTTTTTATCTTTGACCTTGTGCCAGTTTTTTAGCTTTTAAAAAGACGAAATAAATCTAAAAAGACCCATGTGTAATTGAATTTAACAATACATACACATATGTACATAAAAATATTTGGAATATAAAATATTTTGATTGTATTCCAATTTAGTCATTTATCGTACCTGTGCGACATCTCTTATAATACCACTTTACTTTTACCTGAGAAATAAATCAGATTCTACGATTTTATTTTTATCAATGTTTATAATTGATTTAAATAATTATTTTGCACTATTTTTATAATATTGACTGTATAACTTAAACAGCTTACTATCATATCGGAATAAAATGCCATAATGTTATAATTTTTTATATTCCCAAACACAAGTCAAATATGCTTGCAAGAAACGGAAGATGGTTCTACTAATAGTTTCCTGTTATTTGTCATATATAATTGAAAATTAGAAAATCAGTTAAAGAAATGGATATATGATGGCATAAATATTGAAATTTTATATTGAGTACGTTAAAATAAGTGACAATAATGTCTTTTAAACTTTAAACTTATTCGAATATATAGCGTTCATGAAGATTTAACACAAATTATTATGAAGTATAAAGAAATATTAATTCTATTTTATTACAATAACGTACTAATTTCATTGTCATCCTTAGAAAATATCAAAATATAAAACTTAATGATGTTGTCATCTGCTAAATTATTATCTAGAAATGCATTTATTTAAATTTGGAAGTTTCCTAATTTAGATCAGAGTATGCGAGAAGACACAACTTTTGTTTTCGAATCATGATTTAAAAAATATATTTAGTATTTTTGAATGATTTTTTATTAGTTATATTTTTCTAAGAAATTTTATACTTTTAACAAAATACGTAAGATAATAATAATTATTTAATGAAAGTTTCCAATTTCGCGAGGTAATACAAGCAATATGTGGACTCCTATACTTTTATTAATATTTCTAAGTACTGTGGATTTAGGTGAGTGCTTATTTCTTCAAATTAAATAAAATACGAGCTTTAGCTGTTCAGGGGTAATATTCTTAAATGTGTTATAAGTCAATCAAATATTATTTATTTGTCATTATTAAATGGATTTCTGGATTAAATTTTGTTTCGAAATAGTTGTCAAATAACTGAAATTATTGGTGAATTATTCACAAAAATATATCACAACTTGAAGATTATAAAGCTTCTACAAATATTTATCATAAAACATTCACACGCACCAGCTGCAAACATTTTTATGGAGAAATCTATATAATAAATTTCAAAGTAATACGATTGAGCAAATACTGATATAGTTAAGTAACAACTGAAATATTGAAAAAGATAAGGATGCGATAAATTATATTTGTATGAGTCGGCGAATTCAGTAGTAAAGTAATTTTTGTCAATTATATATATATATATATATATATATATATATATATATATATATATATATATATATTAAATATTGTCCAGGTGTGTCTAAGAGCTGCTATCCATTAAAGAATGCTCCCACGCATCAAAAACCTGCATTTTTAAAGGAGAAACCTACGGAGAACTACTGCCAACGACCTGACACTAAAGTCCAGTCTTTAAATTCTTTCAAGAATCCTAGTATAAATAATTCTGAACAAAAGCCATCTAATAATTTGCCAGTTACCAAAGAGATACTTTCACCTAAATTGCCAGATAGTATAACTGAAGGTAATAAATGATTAAATTTCACCTCATTTTTTAATGAATCTTGATTATCAAACACAGATTCAGGTGATGTACTAATATCCTTGTACAGATATTATTTGTTAAATAATTGTTGAAATTTAATGTTTCTATAATTAAAAAAGTAAGTTTTATCCAAAAAACAATGCTTTCATATTATTTATTTAAACACTTTTCTTCTACTTGATGACAAGTGACAACGTATGTATCGTTATATTTGATTTTGATTTTTTTTCAGATGTGAAGGAAATTAATGTAGAACAAAGAAAGGAGAATTCTGATCTGTGCAAATCAAGAATGCAAGTTCGTGGATACAAATTAGTAAATATTCAAATGCTAAATGGCTTTCGCAACAATCTCAATGAAATCAATGAATCAGTTATCACCCGAAAATCCAGTATGATTATGTGTGGCTGCGTTATGGCAATAAATATTATGCTTTTGAAAAATAACTACTAGTGACTTTATCAGTAATCGTCAGTAAAATATATTAAAAATTTATTGTACGATCTTTGTCAAACTAATACATTAAAATTTTTAATGTTATTTTATCTATCTGCATTTTATTATTTATATATTTATCTGTCTACCTGTCCACCTGTCCACCCGTTTGCCTCTCCACATGTCTAGATTTTCACCTTTGTACATATATCTTCCTATTTGTCTACTGGTGTAACTGTCCACCTCTTAACTGTCTTAACATTTCATCTTCTTTTAAATATTTCTGCATATGAATTCGGACAAAAAATGAATATATAATTTTTAATGATCTTTAGATAACAAAATGTCAAATTTGTACTTTTTTCTGAAACCGATGGATCAATAATATAATATTTATATAGTAGTTTATAATTTATAGCACATTTTTTCCTTGTCAGAAGATTTTTGAGTATTTACTACATATTAATAGTTTTGTTAAGTCCAAATAGTTAAATCCAATTTTAGTCGAACATTTTTGTCGAATCACTAGGTTCCAAATTTACATAAAATGCCTTTTCTCAACTTTTTTTAAAACAGAGCCAAATTAATAAGGAAAATCACATAGTAGGGGAGATTGGGTACGGTTATGCCAAAGTACGATAGTGAGTCGCCATATTAGCTAAATTATACTGATTTTAAATAGAAAAAGATGAAGTATGTTTGTTCGAACAAACATTTGTAGACCAAATTGCTTTGAAAGAATCAAAAATAAGGTTTCCTGAGTTTTACTATTATTAAGGTTTAATAGTAATTGTTACTTGTATACAGATAGATCAATTGGTTTGTTAATTTACCGGTAATTAGTTTGTTTGTAGATTATTTAGCTTAAAATTAGACATAATGTTGATTTGTTTTCAAAAGCCTTGGGAACGGTTGTGACATATTTTGTGGGTACGGTTGTAACAGATCAAGAATTTAAGCAGATCAAAAAATTGACAAAGAAAAGGATATATGATGCACTATATAATTATATACAATAAAATATGACCAAAATACGTGTATACAAAGTCAACAAATAAACTATAAATAAAATATATTTAACTTGACTAAGACAAATATGAAAGTAAAAGGAAAAAACAATATAAGAAAAAAAAAGATTTTACAACCAGAAGCATGATTTGATGATTTATTCTGTCTGGTTTGTGGAAGCTTCTACTCTGAAAGTAGGGGTTGCGTAAAATTGATCAAGTGCCAAGAAACATGCAATTTCTGGTTTTGCGTAAAATTGACGGGTAATAGTCACTATTACATTTGTCACCATTGTAACGATGATTCTGACTAGATCTCAGTATATTGATTCATAGTTACTATTAAATTGTTACTGCTTAGTTAACTGATAACTATTAGTTATCATTTACTGATTTTAAGAAAGACTATTATAATAACACTGGTCGTGATGGTGACTTCATAATTATAAAAAGGAAAGTGATCACATAGTTCAGTATATTTATTGATTACTTTGTTAAAAAAATTGTGTATACAATATTCTTATATTATATCCATAAACTTTGTGATAATTATGTTGTGTTGTTTTACGTTATTCTGGAAATAAAAATCGTTATAAACCACTTTGTGTTCATACCTATAGTCTTTTAACCTGTCACAACCGTCCTGAGAGTGTCAACAGTTGTTACAAACCCTTTTTTGTCTAATTGAATTTTATGAGTAATTCATCGTATTTAAGGACAGTATTTCAGTATTTCCAAGTAGAAAAATGTTTAAATTAAAATTTAATTTACTTTTCTTTCAGCTAACTGGTACATTATCAGAATTATTGCCGTTAAAAAAGTGGCACAACCGTACCCAGGCTCCCTTATGCACTTTATTAAATACTTCTGAGATTGTATCAATGATCCAAAATTTCGCGAGAAAAATTTGGAGTAATGCTTTTAAGAACTCTATTAATTAAACTGAACAACAGAGATAATAACTAACAAGTGTGACTAATTAATAAAGATAAAGTTTTTTAGGTTTTCAGTAACAATTGATTATTCAAGCATTTTGACTAATAATTCTAAGTATTTTTAGTAACTCATTCATATAGGGAAAAACACCAAGTAGGGGACATATAAAACGCAAAGCCGTTATTTCTATCGAACTATTTTAATCAGTTGACTCTTCGAGGTGAGATAAAAGTGCAAAATGATGATATCGATTTTACTATTTACATTTTTGAGTGTATTTCATTTAGGTAAGTTTTATTTAATATATATAAAATGAATATATTTATATATTGATGTAAAAAATACGATGCAAAGTATACGTTTTATCTAATTGTGAGAAGTTGAGACAGTGAAGATTTCCATTTTTTCATTCATTGTTTGTCACGCAAAATTTGAAAATATTGGCTTATCGTACTTGTAATTTCCTACTTCGAAGGAATATTTTACAGAATGTATGCAATTAAAATTTAAATAAAAAGATACCTATTACCAAATAATTCAATAAACAACTTTGTCCTACTCTGATCTTATTTCTATATAATGTGTTCATAATATTAAGAATGGATTTAATAGACATATTTGGTGAACCAAAAAAATCCCAATGATCTATTTCAAAATATTTTTTAGTGCTAATATAAATCTAATTTCAATTTGTTTTTTTGTTGATCAAAGTAAATATTCAATCATTGATTTCTAAACGAAGTAAATTATTAAAATCTAGTACTTTTTAAACTTTGCAATGTACTGAACTCAAACTAAAGTAATTTTAGCAATTTTTATACAGCTTAAACAAATAAATTTCTATATATGATTTGCTTGGCCATTTTTGGAAATATTTTGAGAGATCGAAATTTTGAATAATTTTAGAAATATAAAATGTGTATCAATATGTAACATCTTTGAAATCGTAGAAGCAAAAAATAATAGAAAAATTTGAAAAAATGTAGAAAAATTCGATAAATTAGTAGCGTGTATAAACTATATTCAAATCATTTATAATATACACATATAACAAATTTAATAGTATATTTTAGTTTCCGCCAATATTTTTAGAATTTTGAAATAAACTGAATTTTATAAAATTATAGATTTTAATAATCAAGAAGTCAGTACTGATCCAGTCATATAAATCCAAATATAAAAATAATATAAAAAGTAACTCAAATTTTTCTCCAAATATAATTTTTTTCAAAAGTTTACAATTCTCAAAAATGTATTTTTTTCAATATTTTCAAAAAAGTTTAAAGCTTTTTTAAAAATTATAATTTTCGGTACAGAAAATTTCAGCAATTTGCCTTATAACATGATGCCATTCACTACTAGTTTACTATATGATTACTCTGCAATATTCATCTATGTTTGAGTTTTGCATAATCTGGTTTGCAGTTTTATTTTAACATATTTGTTGATATAGAAATCTTCAAATAGTATAGTGTTAACTTTACATGTGATTTTTGGGATTGGCCTTTTGAGAAGATATTTCAATATGACTCAATTTTCAAATATCACACAATATTTGGTAAAGCGCACCTATTGTTGAATATGTTAATGGACACCTATTGTTTGTTCTCGTCATATGTAAACTGATTTTAAATCTATGAAAACTAATATTTATCTAAATACATCTGCCTTGGCATGGTATTATAAAACCATATTTTAGCATCTGACCTAATCTGAATGTTTCAGATCAAGACAATCTACATGATAAAAGTGCTCATTAATATTTAGATCTATTGAAGTATTTTATCAATTTTATTTATTTTTTATGTAAAACTCTTAGTAGTGTCGTTACAAATAAACGATTCGTATGAAATTTGTAATATTGCAAAATGCGCAATAATCATTATGAATCTATGCATTATGATCTAATGTTGAATCATGCACTTATCTTCAGAATTTCATAAACAGTATTTACAATGAATTAGATATGATAAGAGGCTTCAATAATGGTATAATCAGCCGATTGAAATGTAGTATTTTTGAAACAAGCGATAAAATATTACGCAGTTTTTGCTCTACAGCTGACATAAGATCTATTTTACTTCCCAAAGGATAATCTAGATCTTCCAAGTCATTTTGAATTATTGGACTCCAAACCTATTAAATAAGCTAAAATTTGAATTTTCGTCGATGTATTTAAAAAAACAACCAAGCAGTTAATTAGCAGAAAGATGTAAAAAAATTGTCAACTGTTTTGCAAAAAAATTTGAGCCGTCTTTGAAAATTTGAAAACCATTCGAAAGTTATTAGTTGGCAATCAATTTGTTAAGGGTAATCTATAGCTTCCGAGTCATTTTGAACCTTTGGACTCAAAAATTATTAAATAAGCCAAAATTTTAATTTTCGTCGATGTGTTCACAAAAACAACCGGGCCGTTAATTAGCAGAAAAGTTTTTTTTTATTCAACAATATATTCACAACTGTCTACATAGACATTAAGTAAATCTTTTGGCAATTATATACACAAAATGACATCGATATATAAATAGTGAAAAATACACAGTTGCATAAATTAGCAGGAAGGTGTAAAATTTTTTGTCAACTGTTTCGCAAAAAATTTGAGCCGACTTTGAAATTTTAAAAAGCATTCGAAGGTTACTGATTGGCAATCATGCTGATAAGTTTCTGTTAAGGTCGGTCGGGCTATTATTTCGTAAAAAATTGTTCAAATTTTCTTGATGATTTTAATGAATTTTCGAACAGTGCGGAGAGTTCATATTTGACTTCAACTTTGTATGGTGATCATATCACAGGTCTAAACAAACGTTCTAAAAAATTATAGACCCACAAGAAGTGGTTTAGTTTTAAGAAATAACATTAATAACAATAATCAACAATAACACTATTATGATTTAGTAAAACGGGTGATTACAAAAATATATCGTATATCCAAGCTTATGGAAAAATAAAGATTCTCTAAAATCCTTTCCTTTTTTATTTGATATGTGCATACCAAAATATTATATACACATGCATATATGTGGAACGATCTGCAATTAGAATTTTTTTGCTCCCAGAGGCTCAAATGCTTCCAAAATAATAAGAAAAATTCTCTGAAAGTATTTGCTCTTAATATTAACTAAGATAGTCCGCAATCCAATTAAAGTTTCTTATGAATTTATTATTAATAAAATTCCATTTGTTTTTTAGAATTTTATAACTTAGCGAAAAGTGCATCAAAATTTAGAGAATAACATTGTATTTGCTAATTTTGATTATAGATAAAAAAATTATAATATTTGATATATTTCATATAATAAGTATTTACGCAAGAAGAATAATCAAGAAACTTTATTTGGAGTTCAGACTCTTAAAATTAAAATTAAGACCTCCAACTTTTAGAGATCTTTTTTTTATTAATTTGGAAGCATCTGAGGCCCTCGGAGCAAAAAAAGTGATTTTATAAATTTCTTTTCAGACGAAGAAATAAATTTTGAAATTCAAAATTTCTTTAAATTATGTCTTTTTTGAGTTTAAATAAATTTTGAATAACAAAATTTCTTTCTTCTTCTGAAAAGAAATTTATAAAATCACTTTTTTTGATTAATTTCTTTTTTAGTGAAAAAGTATTAATGTAAAATCAATCAAACAGGTAATTAATTTTGTTTTGTCAGAAACCTTTTTTCAAAACTTTCTAGAACTTCCAAATTTTTTAGCATTATTAATATTTTGTTATATAGTCCACTCATTGATTTTTATCATTTTCACTTTGATTATATTGTCATATTTCTATACGTTATTTTTTTAACTTTATTCATTATATGTATATATAAAAGAAATTTATCATCTTCTGCTCTTCTTAAACATATTGTTTGCTTAAATCTTATCAAGATCATGTTTCTTGACAGATGTTTTGAAGATGGAACGTACCTAGTTCCAAAACGTCGACAGTAAATAAATAAAAACATATTTTTTTAAAAAACTTTTATGTTTTTTATTACTTTTTGGATTCTTTGTTAGAAGCTCTAAAAATATTTTTAAATCCAAGACTACCATCTAATATATATATATATATATATATATATATATAATATATATATATATATTATATTATACATTTGATTGTATGATATACCTATGTACTGTAAAACAAGATGATCAGAAAAGTCTGCGCCATCGTAAGTGTATTTTTACTCTATCATGGTCGATCGTTTTTATTCTTTGTGTTCTTGAATAAACCGATTAAATGTATTTTTGATATTACGATGTTTCTCACTTTATTTGCTGCTCTAGATGATCAAACTTGATTCTTCTCAATTTTTTCTCATTCCAAAATATGCAAAAAACCTATTGTAATTTTTTTTTCAGGATCATCCCTACAATGTTACCAATGCGACCTGGCGACTAACCCGGCCTGCACGGCGTCTCTAAATTCCACTAAAGACATTGCAGCCGTAGAATGCGGAAAACTTCCTCAACAAGTTAGTGAAAATGATCGTTCCTTAACAAGATTTTTGCCACCAAATTTCGATGGACACTTGTCAACCACCAGGGAAGGAGTCGGATTTCAATGCGCAAAAATTGTTGCCACGAATAACATTCGTAAGTAATATTTGTATCACGTGTAGAATAAATAGTATCGGGTTCAATCCTCTAACCTCAGCAAGCTCGATATCAAGCAGTATGATAGTAAATTTTAACTTAAGGTTATAGTTGTTAAATGAATATAGCTTATGGTGGATGTTTCTGCAAAACTGTTACCTTAATGCTAACTAATATATAGTCTAGAGACATTAAAGAGTAACGCGGTTGACCACTGGTTTGCCAAAAATGGGTTAAGATGAGATATAGCAAAATCAACTCATATAGGATGTAGCTTTGATCGATGCAATATTTAAAATAGGTTTTTTTCATATTTGTTTTAATACAAAAATAAATTATTAACCTCCCTTAGGACAAGTTATAGTAATCGCACAAAAATCGAAAATGAAAATTTTTATATATCTTTACGTTTCAAAGTTTTCTGAACATTTTGGTATACCTTCGAAAAAATAGATGTATGTGTGTGTATGTATGTATGCGGATACAATTTTTCGTCGACGGTTTCGGGAACACGGATCAACCGATTTGAGTAATACAAAAAACATTCGATTCGTATTGATAAGGAGACGTGCTGATTAGTTTTTGGCGAGGGCAGGTCTAGCCGTTCCGAAGATACTGGGCAAAAAGTGCCAAAAGCGGTAACTCAGTTTTTGAAAGAACGGAGCATCCGATTTTAATAATTCAAAAAATATTTTACTTGTATTTTACAAGATGAAGAACTGATTAAATTTTTGGGAAGGCAGGTCCAGCGGTTATGGACTCTCAATAAAAATAAGTTCAAAAATGTCATTTGGCGGTCAAAAATGTTTATTGGACTTATGCACATCAAATTATCAGATATTTTATAGAGATCTACATAATGTGTACACATTTTGTGTAATTTTTTTTGGGTTCCGTACCAAGATTTTAAATTACGGTACGGCAAGTTCCAGCAATTTGCCTAAGGCACAATGCTATGCACCCCACTAGTTCCTCTAATTTATTGGATGTGTTTGATATTAAATACATTAATATTTATTTTTTGTTTAATGTGTTTGTTATTCACCGTATTAAAAACTGACAATCAAGAGCTGTTTCATAGTGATTTTCGTTTAGCTCGGCTTTTCCAAATAAGAGTGAATTTTTCGAATTACACATTTTTTATGGAAAGTATTTTTCGTGTAAAGCAGGGTTGGGTGCAAATATCCATATTCATTCTTGCTTGTTCAAAATAACACATAATAGGAAATTTTAATTTTAGCTCATTTTTTTGACTCCAAATTTAGACCGATTATTAATTGTAAGGTACATCATATTAATAATTATTTAATTCACTTTTTTTTCATTTTCAGAAGGTGGTTATAATATCACGAGAATTCTTCGAACATGCATTGTCGATTCCTTGAATTGCGAGAAAATTAATGAAGACTTAAAACAAGAAGGATTTTCTTCAATGATGTGCAGCACTTGCAACACAAATTTATGCAATAGTTCGACTTCTTTAAGCATCACAATTTTATTACCATTTATATTATTTTTAATCACAAAAACCACGTCTTAGGGAAATAATTCGAGCTATATATAAATTTTACAAAGTCTTTCAAACGCTGATTAGTGGATAAACTTACAGCATGGTATTAAAAATAACTTTATTTAAGTGAATTCAAATACCATTGATTGATTAATTTAAAATTATCACTACTCGATTTAGTAAATCCAAAGTAAAGACCATAACGACTCATACTTTGTGTATTTTTTAAATACCAATATAAAATTTCATGTATTATTTGTTTCAATTTAGCATCAATTAGAATAGAATCAAAATAAATAGTGAATCTCAATGTTTAACAAGTAGATCAAGTGTTTTTCGACTTAGGCATTGGTAATAAATTCAAGTGATTTACTTTTATATTTAATTAGTTAATAACCGTATAACAATTTTTACTTCAAGCCAATAAGCCGATGCCGATGTTACCTACATTAACGTACACTTTATTAATATTGTATTAATAATGTAAATTATAATAACTTTTTAATAAAAATATGCACAAATATAAAAATATGTAAAAAATTATATATGTTTCTTACTAACTAACTATACTTACACGCAAGTTATAGACCTTATACATATGGACTGTTAAAACATGAAAGCCGATAGTGACGTCACGGTGTGAACGAGCGTTGCCGAGAATAGTCTAAACTCTCGATGACCAGTGAAACTTTTAATTGAATGGCGGACTATCTAAAGATTAATATTAAGAACTGAAACTTTCAGATGGTTTTCCTTTATTAATTTAGAAGCGTTTAAGCACTTGGGGGCAAAGAAAGTCAAAAATGTCCATATTAAGGACCAACCTTATATATATATATATATATATATATATATATATATATATATATATATTTATACGATTAGTACGATTTGTACTTTGCCACCAAATTCAGCTATTATCTCATCATTTGGTAAAAGTTTCTTCACAGCAAGCATCCTTTTGAGATCTGAGATCGGTATATGATCGCAGGGAAACGGATCTAGAGAATATGGTAAAAGGGAAAGCAATTCGGAGCCCAATTCATATTTTTCTTCTTTTTATTTTTTAAGACCAAAATTTAAAGTTGGCCATTCAATAGTTTTCAAGACATGCGAGGTTGATGGGTGCCTGGCTCGCAATACTGGTATTGAAACCGTTTTCAAAAATGCATAATTCGATTTTGATGAAACTTGATATATATTGTTACTACACTTTACTGAATATTTGACAAAAATTTAAAGTTGAAACATTCAATAGGTTTTCAGATATGCGAGGTTAATAGGTCGCATAATAGTCTAAAGTTTAAATCATTTCTAAATATGCCGTGAACCCCCATTTTTATTTCGTGGACCCTCAAATTTTGTTTTCCCTGTCGTGGATTCCTTGAAAGTTGCCATGGACTGCTGGGGGTCCATGTGGACCACTTTGAGGATCACTGATCTAAATGTTAATATTAATAGCTAAAATTTTAGAGAATTTTTATCAATTTGGAAGCATTTGAGCTTCTGGGAGCAAGAAAATTCGAAAATGTTCATATTAAGGACCACCCTGATTTATATATATATATATATATATATATATATATATATATCTTATATATAAAAATGGATCGCAAAATGTGTTGGTAAGCGCATAACTCAACAACGCCTGGACCAATTTGGCCAATTCTTTTTTTAAAATGTTCGTTGAAGTCCAAGGATGGTTGTTACGGCGAGAAAAAAACGAATAATTGCCGGGAAAACCCTAAAAACAGCCCTTTTCTTCTTTAATCGAGTAGGCAACGCAATTTGTAAAAAAAACAATGATCTATGTCATGACATTTTGTGTAGTTTTTGATAATCTAATTTTGAATATATTTATATAAACATAGAAATATCTTTCTATTAATCAAGCTATATTGGCAGCCAAAAACATTGATGTAAATTAATTAAATTTCAAAATTCAAGAACAAATTACAGGTGAAATAGTTGATTCGGCAACTAACCAAGACGATCCACCGGAGTTTTTAAACTCGCTGGATTTGCTAGGATTGTCACCTCACAATCTTCAATTAAAGGTTGGATCGGAAATTATAATGTTGCGAAATATCGACCAACTATATTCAAAGGATAGCATAAAGCAGAAGATGTTCTCGCACCATGCATCCCAATGCGTTTCCAGTGCGTTTATGGTATCATTAAGTGTTTGTGGTATTAATTTAGAAAACCCATGTTTCTCACATGGAAAATTGTATGTTGTTTGTTCCCGTATTGGAAAACCATCAGATTTGTTTGTCTATGCGCCAGGTAATCAAACAAAAAACATCGTTCATCACACAGCACTTTTACATGGTTAAAATTACTTACTTTTAAATGCTTATAGTGTTTTATTTAATTATTTTTAATTCACACCAAATTATTACCAGGGTGAAAGAAGGTAGGCACAAAACACCGCCACATTACAATTTTTTTTGACAGGACGAAGTCTGTCGGGCCGGCTAGTATATATATATATATATATATATATTTATTTATATGTGTGTGTGTGTGTTTGAGTAGCGACAAACAAAAAAATACATTTCTTTAATTTTTCGTAAATTTCTTTAATTTTACTATTGCTGTTTTTCTCAATTACTAAAACTAATCGAAGATTTCAGAGTCCTAGACAATATTAGAATATAATATCATTCATATAATATTAGAATATAATATTATTCAAAACCTTTGCGACCTGAGGAGGGACATGCTAACTAATTTTTAGGACATATAGATAGAAATATAGTACATTGTCCTTCAGAAAATAAAATATATTTCAAGATCTCAATTTAGATCAAAGCATGTGACAAATATATTTTGTTTTAAAATCACGGAAAATTTTAATTCTAGAATATGATTTTCTATCGATTCAATTTTAACAAGAAAATTTAATATTTTAACTTTAAATTCTAACAATATTGATGCCTTTTCAAAGGCCATAATATTTTCAATTTCGTGGGGTGAATAAGCTATAATATGTGGACACCGATGCTTTTATTAATTTTTTTAAGTATTTTGGATTTAGGTAAGTGCAATAAATTATAATATATTAATTAATTATTATATGAATATATACATAAAACAATTTACAACAATAAAATTTGTCTAAGTTTTTTCTCCTTTGTTTGATGTTGTCTTCCAAGATTTTAAATATAATCCAAAATCAATAAAAAAAATATATCTAAAATATTGTTGTTCTGGAATAGACTGTATTTTAATTTTGCATTATATTATAATATTTCTCGACTGTATTTATTCGAATTGTATCGCCACAGCCTCAAAATTGTTTTTTCTTACATCAAAAAATGCAATTAACTGATACTAATATGTTATTCTAGGGACATCCCTAAAATGTTATTCATGCGATCTAAATACCAACCGCGCCTGCACGGCAAAATTAACTTCCAAGAAGGACATTCCGATTTTGGATTGCGACTTACTTTCGCAACGATCCTATGAAAATAATAGTTCCTTAAAGGCATTTTTACCACCAAATTTTATTCAAACTTGACGCTCAGGAGCACCAACCTACAATTTCAATGTTCAAAATTGATTTTGACCAGTACAAACCGTAAGTAATTATAAATGCAATTATATTATATATAGCTACTAACAAACCCGACGAACTCCGTTTCGCCACCAGATGGTTTCGTGAGAAAGATGAAGAAATTTTTTGTTTCTTTTATATTTGAAAAGGAAAAATTTGATTTTGAAAAATGAAGTGTTTTTTAGTTGAACTTCTCTAAGTAAATGAAAGTGAATCCGCAAATTATCCGTTTCATTGAAGTGCTCTTTGGTAAACCACATTTTTTGTTTTTTGGTCTGACGTTAACACAAACAAAGCGGACGGTTTTCCAACTTGTGAACAGGCAACGTATAACTCGCCATGTGAAAAACAATGATTTTCTAAATAATCTATTAGAAATTTATCCCGCAAACACTAAGCGATTGACCTTGCGACTTGTTATTGCGAACGCAAGGCGAACTGGAAATTGCAATCGTTTGAAGTCAAACGGAATACCAGTCAGAATCATTGGTATGTCACCAAATCGCCAGCAATTTTTGACTATTTCATGATATACAGGGTGTTTCAGACAACGCCAATTCGAAACAGGGTGATAGTATTGACCATAACCGTCCTGAAAAAAAATAACCGTCCTTAGAAAAAAAATCTCTTGTTCTTTGGAAATTATGAGCTTTTAAGTGCATGCTAGAGCTTTGGTGTAACTGACATGGACATTTTTCAGTTATTGTGGTTAACTTTTATTGAATTTGTTCATTCATATACTAACGTGTATGGCATCGTATCTTAAAGCAAATTACTGAAACTTTCCGTACCGTAATAAAACATTCAAGAAATACTGATTTTTTTCAAATAGATTATTATCAATACTTTAGCACTTATTTTTCGTATTTTATAGACAAAATATGAGTTTATGAATTGGACTATGACGTTTATATATCTTTACATGAAAAGTAAATGATCAAAACTTAATCAATCAGATTTTAACTGATGGACATTGTCTAATATTTATAAGAATGATATAATCTGAATTGCAAATTTAATATTATTTATTTAAATTATATAAGCGAGCTTTAAAACTTTTGTTGGAATTAAAATTAAAAATTCAATATGTTTTCGATACACAGAAAATAATTTTTTTGAAAATTAAAAAAAAAATTGAAATGAAAATAAATTTTGGCCAAAATTAATCGTTTCATTAAACACAAAAGGAAAGTTTTTCTTAATTATTCAAATCGAATGCTCAGTTCTCTCACAAACTGCCATTTTTTGCACGTTTAGCCCGTTTCTACAAAACGGCTGGACCTGCCTTGGCCAAAAACTAATCACCACTTCTTCTCTTCATTACATAAATTTAATGTTTCGTTATCTCAAAAACTTGATTTCTATTTTCTGCACTCTTTGCTCCGTATCTCCGAAACAACTGGACCTATTTTCGCCAAAAACTAATCCGCACATCTCCCTAATAATAGGAATCGAATGTTTTTTGAATTATTCGAATTCGATGCTCCGGAAATCGTGGATGAAAATTTGCGGACACACAAATATACACACCTTTTCTAAGGTATGCCAAAATGTTAAAAAATCTTCAAAACGTGAAGACATGCAAAAGGTTCGAATTTCAATTTTTGGACGATTACGATACAAGAAGTTAGAAAACGTTAACGTACAGTAAATTACCAGTAATTGAAACCCAAATATCTGGAAAGTTTTGAGTAAAAGGCAATATTTAGATCTATTTTCAAATTAATTCGAGGTATATTTAGAAAAAAATCTAT